ACAAAGCTGCGGAAGGTCCAGAAGCCCTCCTTCGGGTTCGTCTGCTCGATGTGGATGGATGTATGGATTCCTAGATGTAGCTATGAGAGACAGGCAGTTCGCACTTGGCTTTGATGAATTTCAATGCCCGGATCAAGCCCATGAACTGCACATGAAGTTCAATCGTCTGGATTTGGAAATGCAAGCAAAGACAACCCCGCACAGCGTCAGACAGAGGTTGTGGGAAAACCTTGTATAAGTGCCTGTTGTTTGAGACAAACAGAAGCCCTATGCAGTTGACTACAGCTGCTAAGTGCGGGCCAGGGTAACTTTCCCGTCCTTCAGCACAGAGCTGATCGGATATTGTTGGCATTTGCAGCAGGAACGTTTGCACTGATTGTGGAGAGCCAGAAATGCCAAGTCGGGCGTCGCGGGGGCACATGTTTTGATGAGCGAGGAACAAATCGGATGCACTGCGAGATTCATGATCAAACAAATCTAGCTGAAGCCTACTCGAGAATTTGTTTAAGGCGGAGAAACAAGCTAGCGCTGTTTAGTTTTAATATGTTTATGATCTCCTGGCTGGGATGTGGCCATGCAAGATACAAGTTGGAGGCAATGGGTCCATAGTAGACTCTATCAGTGCACTACCGAAATTGAGCACCATCGTTCCTTCTTCAGTGGAAAGTTTCGCTTGTTCAAATGTCGATGATGACCGTGAAAAAACTCATCACGCGGTGATGACAGCTAGTGCCACCGCGTTCTGAGCTGCGCAGCCGCTTGGTCTTTTTCTCCAAGGCAAAACTATAGTCCTTTTGGTCGCTGTTGGCCAACCATTGTTGCTGCAGGCACTCCAGAAGAGTGCCAAACGGCAACTGGGCTGGTTGGCCCATCGTTGTTGCAAAAACTCCAAGCAGGGCAACTGCTGTCAAGTAGGGGAAACCCTTATGCTAGTTTGCTTCTGTGGTAGCGAGGCCTCCCAAGATGGTTGCACAAGGCCCTGCGGGATATGTACATTGTACATAATTCAGCAACTCCGCCGCAAGATCATACCCGCTTGTAGGCAACGATGTATTCTGGGTAGATCCGGTATTTTTTGAAAGACAATGAACTCCCTGTAGCGCATGATTTTGTCGCCAGTCTCTGCAATCAGAGAGTGATGTAGTACCTGTAGTCTTGCCGATGTTCAAGGAACATCTCAAGCTCAACGTTTCCATATCACAGAAACCGAATACTCAAAAAACGTGAAAGTCTCCTCTCGAATAGGTAGGGAACGCACGGGTTGGACCCAATCACCGGGGCCAGCTCTCGTTGATCCTTCGACCACACACTCCGGGAGGCAGCGTCGTCCATGTCTGTGCTCCCATCTTGCGTGCGCACAAAGTAGCCCAAGAGAACCCGACAAAGGATGATGTAAAAGATTTTCTCGTTAGGGTGTCTGACATCAGCGAAGAGATGCTTGTGCAGCTCCAATGCCGCACTAAATGCAGTGTCTGGCATTACGTACTGGTCGTTCTTGCCAACATCCTGAATCTCAGGGGCAATGATCTCGCGCGAAGAATCTAACATGGTAAGTTCAAACGGAGAGAGATCACCGACAGAGTGCCAACATTTTTGCACATGCCTCGCCTCAGCCAAGTAGGTGCCCTGTCCGAACAAGCCACCACTGAAGCGCTCATTCAGGCCTTGCATGGACCCTGAACTCTGAAGTTGCACGCACAATCAATAATCAATTGTTTACAACTAAAAACGTGCGCCATCCCGAAACCCAGACCCGTGCTCCACCAAAGCGAACAAGCTTGTGAGAGGATTGGGAGCAGGCTGTCTGGCTTGGTCCCGTGGCACAAGAAAACCTCATTGACTCTTTCCTTGGCAAAGGGGCTTCTCTGACACATCATCCCCTTCTTGGAGATCCCGTTCTGGAGGTTACAGGGGAACCTCATGCTTGGGAATGCTCACCGTCCTAGGAGCCTGGAGGAATCTTCCCCAGGCCAATTCTGGGATTGTTTTGTAGCAACGGGTCAGCGGTGATTCGGCAAATTTTGATGTTCACGCCTCTCTGTTTGCATAACGCGTGTTTCCCAAGCCCGGCCCCACACATGCTTGTATTTGGAAAGTGACTGAATGCAACCACAGCCCAACCTGTTGACCGTGTAATATGTAATGTGTGTAAATCACCCAGAAAGGTCTTGATCTCAACCAGAACGTATGGACTCGCACACTTACACATTTGGATTCGCTCTATCATCGAAAAGGACTATTGAAAAGGACTTTGAGGACTGCCCAGTGTCTTCCAGATCTCCTGGCAGTCGCTTGGTAGCACACTGCAAGTCCTCGCGGATTCGTGGCGGCCATCGCTTTGCATGCTTGAGATTCGGAAGGTCATTCAACCTAGGTTCACATCTCCTAACCTCGAACAACTGTAGGGAGCAGGCTCCACTATCACTCAATGACACCATTCAGGAGATGAGCGAGAGCTTTGTCAGAGCTGGACTGCCCGAATCCGGAAAAACTAAGATTCTACACCGAAACCCAACTTTAATCCGAGATTTGCTATACTGGAGGCTCAGCAGCAGCCGTTGCTTCTCAGCTGTGAACTTGCCCCACAAACCAGGATGTTGTAGACGCCAAGACAAAACCAACCTCCAGGAGTGTGCAGCTACAAACTGTTGATGGAGGAAATCTTGCACCACCTATGGTCCCTAAATTATTGTAATTCCGAGTACTTTACGGACCTCCATCAACAGTATGTCAAAACCTTTCTGAAAGAGACAAAGACGCAAACTAGTCGGTCTGAGTTCAGAGTCCTACAACATAAAAGGTCTAAGAACCTCTTCCAGCGGAAGCTTGGTAAATTGGTAAGAGTACACTGCGAGCAGCTTATTGCCAAAGGCAGGCAAAGTGAAGGATTCAGGCCGCGTTACACGTACATCAACTGTTGTAAGAATCAAGCAGTATAATATTACTCTCGGCGAAGGCGCCGCTAGTGATTAAGGAGCTAACTAAAACTATTTAGCTATACGAAACCCAATAGGGTTTTTAAGAATCTTCGGGGGGCTACTCTTGGGGGAGATAGTATTGTAACCCCTTGAAGATCGTTCAATGCCACAAGCTTACAACAGGTTCTCCTCACAAAGAGAGAGATCACCGTTAGAAAGTCTGGAGGCAGAAGGGCTCTCCCGTCTTCATCGCGGTCCAGTAGTCGGGACATCCCACCTCAGCATCGTCGGGTTTTTGTAAACATGCAGAAACCCAACGAAGCCTGCCATCAGTTCAAACCTTGCCCCATCCCACTCCGCCTTACTTGCCATGAGATAGGTAGCCACTGATGCTATTTGGGGCAGAATTGGACTGCCGGCCCACCTCAATCTTCGCCACCGGCACTGTTATGATGAATGTGGGAAGAGCCAACGTCAAACGCGTGATGCGATACCTCCACGGCAAAAATAATAGACACAGTATTGCCCTGGCAATGATGTATCTAACTATTGAAATCCTGAGCCCTGCAATCCTCCCCTTGAGAAAACATCTTGGGACCTTGCACACAACGCCTTGCTTGACAAGCAGGGGCACCTCCATACGCTGACTCCCATCTATCACCTATTCTTGCGCCCGTTAAGTACCTGAGGGCAGACTTGTCAAAAGCCGAGTCAAAGCCCTCCTGCAAGGAATCGGTCAGTTTCCGCCGGTGGTGCTTCAATCCAACCTGCGGCTGCTCAGCTAAACAAAGCCATACAAGAGGTGTATGGCACGTTGCTAGGCCCCTCACTCCAAATCTAGGGAATCACAGAACTAAACTGAACATGCAATATCTTTCAGACAACCACAGAACAAATGAGCATCCCAATGAATTCTGGCAACCACATATTCACGCCCAGTCTGCACCCGGCAAAGCACCAACGTCAAGGTCTCCGCCGATTTTTTGCCATCAGAGCTACGGCTGCCCAAGCTGCTGTACTGATCGAAGTCTGCATGCAAAGCTTGGCGAATCTCCTCGGTCGACCCTGTACAACTTGGCGCGATCTGCGGTCACAAACGGATCATGATGGCAGCTTTTCAAAGTTTGACAATGGCTCACATGCAGGCAAGCCTCAGTTTTCTTTTTGAGTTTGACTTTCTTGCTCAATCCCATGGCCAAGCCCCTGTTGGCAATGTCATGAGCAATCTGCATCGACTCCACCTTGGCAGTCGGCCCTCTGCTATCAAGGATTCAGAAACAAGAGCCCAAATCTAAACCTGCTCCAGCATGCCAGAGACACCTCAAGGAACAGGCGGCGCTCATCCTCAGATGGACAGTGCAGCAAAGTGTGCTTCTGATAGAACTGCTTTTCAAGCTCGTGGTTCTTGATCTGCCACATTCGCGTTTCATCTCGCACTGCGTGCCATCCGGTTTTCGAGAGATATCCTTCGACCATTTGGAATACCTCCTCAAACTGCCGGGTGTGACTGTCGGCCTGTATCTCACAGGTCTCCTTGAAGTCTGGCTCGGTGATCTTCTGAATCTGCTCTTCCGCTTCCTTCAATTTCTGACTCCTCACTTAATCCCTTTCCAGTTCGCAGGCCTTGCAATCATCAAGGCCTGTCTCACAATCTTGGAAGCCTCGGCTTGCAACAGAATGCTTCACTGCCCAGCAACCTGTCAAAGCCCAAATACAAAGCTTCCCTCTCTTAACTACCCATGTCATGAAATGCCTGGGCTTGGGCATAACCGACAGTTGGCCCAGCTCCTGTAAGCTACTTCGGGGCGGGTTGAGGGGTATACACTGAGGCAGCGGCACTGCAGCATACAGCGATGATGGCAGCTCATGTTTCGAGTGCACGGCTTGGTACACCTGAAGTCAGCTGGTGAGTCCTGGCAGGGCATGATGATATCACCAAGCAGACTTAAACTGTGGGTAAGGATGTGAGTTTCAGGGTCAGCAGGCGGTAGATGGTAGGCTGGGAACCTACATCACCAACATTGATTCCTTCTGGATGTGGCACTGCACCTCACCATACTCCCCACAGCTGGAGCATTGAATTCAAACCATTGTTTGGCATTGCTTCTTCTTGTCACAGCATTTTCGAGTGTCCCAGTGGTTGCAGATGTCATGTTGGAACTCCACAGTCTTCGTGCACTTCAGATTCTCTATGCCTTGCTGTCTCTGGAAACATTTGCATACCTTGTCGTGTCCGCAAAGCAGCTTGACAGTGATTTCCTGTGTGCACGCCGGGTGCTTGTTCAGCTGATGGCAAGGGCTCCCACACGTGTGCCCACACTCCAGCTCGACCTCGCAGCTATGATGACAATCCTGACCCAACTGCAGCCGAACGCTGGGATGTCGCGGACAGACTATGGGCAGCTCCGGGCCTGCACATCCTCTGTTTGTAAGGGCTTGAAGGACTTGCCTCCATTCCTTGGACTTTTTCTCCAGCAGCTGGTCATTGCCAAAGAAATAAACCCCGCAGCGTGCCCTCGACAGTGCCACAATCAAACGATTACGCTCAGACACGAAACCAGCCTTGCCCTCCCTGTTTGACCTCACTACGGAGATCAAAACGAATTTGTTCTCATCGCCCTGAAAGCGATCTACTGAGGAGCATTGTATGTCAGCTAGACCCTGGCGATCTCGAAGCATTTTCCGTAGCAAGGACACCTGACCATCGTACATGGCGAGGATGGTAATGTCCTCACAAGCTCTGATTCTGAACTTCATCCTCAAAAACATGAACGAAAGGCAACAGAGGAAGCACAGACAGCATAGCAGCATGTGGTGGGACGACCTGTATAGCAAAGAAGCACAGATAACCCCCTCCTCGGCATTGTAGCCCTCGCGCACGATGTGCGCTGCAAACTTCAAAATGGTCTCGGCTTCTGCCGGATTGGTGGGGCTTCGGCGCTCCGGAGCCTCCGTCTCTGTCAGCTCCCGCATGGTGACAAAGAACATTGACTTCTCGCAGCATGACAGTGGCCTGTGCCCTTTGACTCTCTCCAGGTTGGTGGACAAGTCTGGATAGAATGGATGCAACAACAGCAGGAACTCGTCCCGCATGCGATTTTGCTTCTGCAGCATTGCTTTTGGATAGTCTGCTACCTCGCTGGCCAACAGGCGCTCCATCATAGAGCGGTCAAAGTTCCTCCGAGCAAGATTTTTGAGGTTGCACCTACTAGAAAGCAAAAGCAAGGAAGTTGCCCAGATAGTAGAGCGTTACTGTATGCGCACCACGGACTGCGTATCCGGCTAGACTTTGAAAGACGCAGAAGCATTTCCTACAGCCAGTGCATCAGCAAAGCGGATGATCCACCCGAATCAGAAGGTTTCAGTTATAGCCCCAGGGAAGTCAACAAAATCTGCATATCTAGAACTTGAAAAACTAATCAATACATGAGCATGAACATCCTCTCTGCGCATACTGTCGGATCTATAATATGCGCGCAACGGAACGACGTCTTTAGAGGCCTGAAGTGGAGACAGCAGACTTTCGACAGCTGATTTTCGACAGGCCTTTCTCGGCCAAGGAGGTGATTTTGGATCTTTGGCTGGAGCTGGAAATGATCGCCAATCATGATGATCTGTTGGCATCGCTGAGGCAAGGCAGCCAAAAGCTGTGGCTCCAGAATCTCAGCTGCCTCCTCCACAACCACTACCGGGAAGTCAACCTGTGCGAGCAGGTCACCTTTGATCGAAGCGCCACCTGGGCTCAACTGAACATACGAACGAACTAGGGACGATGGAAGCCGTTTTCACATTCTACGTTTGTGACAAAGCGTTTTCTTCCAAATCTGGCAGCTGATCGTGCAGCCCACGACGTCTGCACCTGAAAGAATGTTGATTGCATGCTGGTTTTCGAGCTGCATGATGTGCTCTTGAAGTTCGTCGTTTCGCTGGAGGAGCTTCACTAGCTCCGGCCAGAGGTTGTCAACTTCCTTCTGCAGCCAGAAGCCGAGCAAGGAGGCTCTTTGGCCATCGTCCAGACTCCACCTAGACTTCTTTCACAAACATCTCACGAGTGGGACTTGACTTGACATGCATGACAGGATCGGAAATCATGTTTTTGAAGACTCTCCACTCCAGCACACACTGCCAGAATGCTGCCAGGGCACAGGTTTTCCGTAGAAAGACTTGCACTGTCCAACTCCACGGGCATCCCTCGCATGAATGTCTTGAGCTCGTCAAGTTTTAGGGAGCATAACCTTGGCATTGCTCTCAGGAGGGTCGTTCCCAATTCTGGGTTTGTGCTGGGGTGGCGGGCTCAAAAAATCCAAATAAGCATCAGAAAGATTCAGAAAGCACAATGGGGGATCAAAAACCTGGACACTAAGGGATTTGGAACCCCAGTAGAAATTATAATTTCCGCTAAATATTAGGATTGTTGGTAACAGAAATTCATAGTTATTTTCAGGAACCTTGTAGTGGAGAGTGAGAGTGAGCAGGTATAAATTAGCGCGTTCTCGGAAACACTAAAAACTGGGGCCCCCAGGACGACGCTTTCTGAAAACAAAACAAGTATCACAACAGATCAAGATTAGGGAATGTGAGAGCCCTCAGTGCAAGAGCTCGGCGGGGGGGTTGGGGAGGTGCGGCTTCCCCTCCGCAAACCATTGAGGAATGTGGGAGTTGTTGAGGGTTCACTACTATAGGCCAGGCATGACACAGGTTCACGTTGAAAAAAGCAAGGGGTGTTGGGTGGTTATTGATCCTCATTTGATCTTTCGTTGGTCCTTGATTGTTTTTCATTGATCCTCCTTTGATTTTGTGGATCCACATCACTTCCTGACAGTAAACCCAAGAGCACCATGACAGAAAGCTTTCGCTAAGCAGCTTCTCCACACGCTCCTGGAAAGCCTGGCGTTCCTTCGCCTCATCCTCAGCCTCCACATCACTGCTCTCTTCCACAGCAGATGTCTGGTTGCGTGAAGCCTGACACGAACAATGTGCAGACATTCAAGGCCGTTATATTACACACCCCGTGGCTAATACTATCTAATACTGGACTGCCCACCTTGGCTGGTTCTACTTGCGCCTGTGACCTGGCTTTGGGCAGCCAGCCATGGAAGCAAACTTTGAATGCGGAGTCGCTGATCTGCTCGCCATTGCAAAGGGCGTCTTCCACCTGGAGAGGTCTACAGCCATCCCGGAGCAGACCCGAGAACTGCCCTTTTAATCACATCTACAAGGACTCGGGTGAGGGCTTCTGGGTACCCTGTTACAATCCTTGGGACCAAGCCCACCTGCGCATGGAGTCGCGTGTGAGTTGGGATACGGCAACCTTGAAGCAGAGACGACTTCTGTGCTCTGGAAGCATTGTTGACAAAGAGCTGCAGCGAGGGAATTCGCTCTGCCAACTTGCTAAGGCAAGCCTCAATCTCCGGGATAAGGGCTTGTTTGTCTTCAATTCTGCTGCCTTGGCTGCTCCTGAACAGCCACACAAGAGCATCCATCATTCAGCATCTGTATTACAACAGGTGAGATTCAGAAACCTTACGGCAAGAATGTAAGAAAATCTCAAATGTTAGTAAAGACCTGGTCACGCAACATCTTCCGAAGGTTGATGTCCTTCTCTGCGTCTCTCGTCAGACCTCGGTCTAGGGGAGTGCTGCTGGTTGTTGTTGCGCAACTCTTCTCACAAGTCATCGGTAGCAGTGTTCGGCGTTCGAAGTTCGGATAGAAAACACTACTAAAGCCATTCAAGGATGATAGCTTCAACTACTGGCACGGCAACTGCAATTGTTCCAATAAATTCATGGTTCCCATCTGTGTGAACTACCTACCTGGAGCATCACTTGCAAACTCAATACTGTCAGACTGAACCATGGCACTTGCGGGTCCAAGAAGCTCTGCAGAGTGCGAGACTTCAGCCGCTCGTCCTCGCAGCGGCCTCCGATTCGCACCACGCTGGCCCCGGGGCAATTCTTCATGACATCCAGCAAGCATTCGTCCAGGGCGTGATTCTTGAAAGCCATTACGAGAATTCTGACTTTCTTTGTTCTGCGTGGATCCGCTTCATACTCTACGCAGGCATTGGTGTCGGAGTCTAAGTGATCAGAAAATGGGTCTGGGCAGGGACCTAGGTCTCGCGCAGGTATTTGTTGAAAGTGTCGACTTGCAGCTGACAGAATGTGACGAATGGCCTCAACACCGATGAAACTTTTGCCCGTGCCCGGCCCTTGTATGCAGGAAATCTTCGACGAAAAGATGACTCGCAAGGCGGATTCCTGTGACGGATCGAAACTGCGCTCCTTCTGCTGGATGGAAGTCTGCAAAGATAGGAAGCTCCTGGCGGGCTGCAGCAGCATCCCTGCGCCGTCCCAGCAGGAGCGTTCCTTGAGGTAAACTGTCTTGCCCATCTGACATGCTTTGGAGGCGCTTCAGCACAGGTCCGAAGGACAGGAAAAACACAGGGCTATCTGCTAAAAGAAGGCTGGATGGTGACATCAGACGAGTCATAATGCTCTGCAGCGGAAAGCCATGGTTCTGGTAGTCGAGGAACTCAAGCCCAACCCTGATTTTGGCCTGCTTTTGCGCCTTCGGATCTGTTGGACGCTCTGCCACCCGCGCCCACAGCACTTCAGAGAAAGGCTTCAGTCCAATTGACAAGCAAACAAGATTGCTCTGCATAAGCACCCTTGGAGGAAATGGTACTGCAAAATCGAAAATGTTCTCGCACTCCAGGTAAGCCGTCAAGCCTTTGATTCCCCGCACAACACTGAACTCTACGGCCTCAGCCCGCAGAACTCGTAGGTCCCGCTTGTCCAGCGTTCCTCGAATGAAGTCCATGACACCCTTCTGGAGGGCTCCAAAACAATCTGCTCTAAGCAAGCGGAAGTACGTGCTCATGTAGTCCTCTACGCTCTTGTAGTCCCAGCTCACCTCTGGCAAGTCCTGCATATCACATAAATCTTCGGCAAGAAGTTGAGGAACCAGAGGCAGCTGTCTCCAGCTTGTGGAGAGTATAAACCCCTCATCAGCAGACACGCGATCATAGAGGGTATCAAGAAGCTCTGTGAGTGGACCGAGGCTTGGCTCAAGTAAATTGCTGATGCCAAGATCCGCAACCTCACGTAAACTTAACGAAACCAACACAGGCTTCAATAGGAAGGCCTTGCGTGCGAGGACCTTGATGGCCTCCTTTGCAAAATTGCGTACATCTGTCAAAGTCTGCGCTCGAAGATGTCCTTACTTCACACACTTTGGAATCTTTTGCTGCCATAGTCTAGATTTGAGGATGAACAGCATAAGGGCCGATGCCATTGAATATCGGGGACACGCTGGTAACAGCTGTTGCATCATACGAACAACGTCATGGAAAGCTGCATCCTGGGGCTCAACGTGGGAAACTATATACTGAAGGTAAAGCTTGCAATACATCTCCAGTGCCAACAACGCCTCCGCACCTTGCGCTTCGTATCTTTCTCGGAAGCCATAACAAAATTCCTTTATGTCCAAGCTTTGCATGCAGCCGCCAGCAAGCGAGGACAAATGCGGCGTTATCCATCAGCCTTGCACCGGCGAGAAGCGAACTCCATCACCAACTCGTGGATGAATTGGCCAATTGGCAAAAGAAGCTAGGTTGACCCATTTTACCTTCCCGCTCGTAAACCTCAGCTTGACGTTCCCCTTTTCCAACTCCAAAACTTCAACCTTGGCTTCCAGTGTTGCTGATGGATCTTGCACGGCTTCTGGATGCTCAGCGGCATCTAGCTCCGCTTCTGCAGCTGCAGGGGCAGTGGCTTCACTACCGACAGCCTCTGTTGAAAGATCTCTCAGGCTTTCTTCGTGCCCGTGGCTGAATCTACACTTCTCGCCGTATTTGCAGCCAGCTGGCGTCGAAAACTCCCGGCACAACTGAGAAGTTTTCGTTGCTGCTTGGGTTGCGTAGAGCTCCTCCCTGCCATGGGCAAAGGAGCAATTGTTCTTGGTGCATCTGCCATCTGCGAAAAAAGTGCAAAGTCGCACTTTGTAAGGCAAACTGCCAGCCGATCCGCTTTCAGCTGGCACGCGACTGGTTTCTTCATGTCTATAAGTGCAGAGCCTGCCATGCTTGCAGTGTCCTCTCTGGAAATGCTTGCATGGCATCGCTGATGCCCTCATGCCTAGCTAAGTTTGCGAGCAAAATCATAAGCCATGTTCCTGTACAATCATCTACACATGCCACCTATTGCTCATACAATTGCGTAAATTCCCGTGTAGCTAAATTTGCAACCTATGCTGCTGTGACCCATGGAGCCGAGACACAGAAGAAACCGGGCCCGATGTGGAACGGAGTCAAGATGACAAGTCTCGTCAAAACTGACTGGGGGACCAACATGCCCTGATGCTCCTTTGTCTTTCCTTAACATGCGCCCGATAAAGCCTGACCAACCAAACCAGGCTGAAACACTTTCCGCGGTTTGCATTAGAAGGTGCTTGGATCCCATGGACTGTCCATAGGGCCTATCAGCAACCACTATGAGCGTGCTGTTGTGCTGGGTTGGCGGACACGCCCAGAGGCTGCGGCCTGCATTTTGGCCGTCTAGCGTTCATGGCTCTGGACTTTGGACTCCCTGTCTGCGCCGCCATGGATTTTGGCCCAAGCACCGCCATGTAGTGGGACTGCGGACCATCCACAGACGGGAAAAAATGTAGCTGGGGCAACGGAGTGACGAAGTCCTTCCTCGCGCACAGCGTCTCAGCCATTGTCGCCACACACGCACATGTTTTTTTAAGTTTTGCGGCGATCAATCACACGTGTAGATGCGAGCGCTCTGAACCCAATGCCCTTCCATGCAAAAACACCTCCATGGCCAGCTTCGGAACATTCACGCAACACATCACGCTTGACCTGCCCAGGAAACAGTTGGCCACCATGGCACGCCCACAAGAATCTCGCTTCTGGGAAAGGATTTGAGGAGTTAGGGCCCAAAAACGACAATGGATCATGATCTGAATTCGTGCAACATACTACGCCTATCCCCCGTCAGACTCTAACAGGGACGTATCCCCCACCACAAATAAGCTGAGTGCGGCGATGAACTCAGAAAGAGCTTGTAGAATGGCGGGGGCGGAGGGGAACATCACCTCATAGGGACATGTACAATAATAGATATAGAAAAGTGGGGGGGTGGGGGGGGCGTACCATGGGTAGTTTATTGATGAACAGTTGCAAAGGAAAAAATGCTTATATAGCTAGATAGCTTTTATTCAGAGAAGCACAAAGATAAATTAATCATATGAAGGGTTGCCAAAAAATGAAAAGGAAGCATGCCCATCAACAATATGAATACCGTGAACACATACAATATGTGTTTTGCCATGATGTTTACTCCCGCATGGACGGGCATTATGTGGCATTGGCGTTGGCATCTCACCAAGTACAATTTGTTGATTGACATATGCATTTATGTGAAAAAACGGAAAAGGCGCGCAACATGTTTTGGATGCATTGCAGTCGTGCGAAATTTCCAACCGTTTTGCAGGCAGCGAAGGCGAACCCGCAGCGCTGTGCCAACTCACCCTCGTCCTCCGCCCACCCTCGCCTTGTACCTGGCGAAGCCTGCCCCATTCACGCGAATACTTCCCACGCCGTCAACCTGCGCGACCCGAGTGCCAGCTGGAAAGGCAGCTCAGAAAGCGCAAGCACCCACGAGGCAGCCACGCTGGGGAGTATGCGATTATCCGAACTGTGGCAAGGGCCGCGCGCCCGGCCGAGACCAGTTCGCTGTTACAACCGTTACGAGGGCCCTTCCAGGGAAAATTCACACCGCAGGGGTTGTTTGGGCAGCCACGTGGCGCACATAAGCGAGCTCTGTGACTTTTTGCGTCTGCAGCTTGATTCGGGCATCGTTTCCATACCGAGGCACCTACTTGGGTAGCATCCCGAACACTCACAAACAATGACGCAACCGGGAAAGGTGCGAGCTGAGGGCCGGGACAAGGCCATCTACATTGGCAGTGCCGCTGGGACAACAGGCTGCAGTATCATCCCGCACGGAGGAAATTAAACACCCCACCTCGCAATTAATTCCACCCTGAACCCTCCTTCTGCAAGCACTTCCGGCCTTCTCTGGCTGAACTCCCCCGCAATCACTCCTCGCTACCCGCTCAAACCCCTGCTTCAGCTGGAGCATGTGGGCTTGGGCGACCACACGTGGAGGCCATACCCTCCCCGCAACCATTTTCGAGGAGGGCAAAGACAAATAAATGGCTGCGGAAACTGCAATCATTTAATTCCCCTACCTTGGGGTGGTAACAGGACTGTTGTTGTTGACCGTGCGGTTGCTGCGTTGGAGCCTTACACGCTGGCCCTGAAAGTCCAGGTCTGACACCAGGGTGGTGTCAATACCCTGGCTGCGTAAGGGCCGGCATGGGAACCAAGCGAAGCGCAGGAGGCTGGGTCAAAACCCTCACGGAGCTGCGCAAAGAACCGGTCATCAATGATCCACGCAGCGGCTCGTTGCCACCCGCGGCAAAGCTCAGGGGCAAAGATTCCGGGCTGGCAGGCGCGGGGGTTGCAACAAGCCCCTCCCAATCCGGGAGCTGAGAAGCCTGGTCCTCAAGCAACGGGCGGCCCCCGCTAGGGCATGCACTGGGATCGGTTCTTTTTTTGCTGCGCAAGTGTCATTTGATGCGAGCGATGCTGATGGATCTTGGGCTTGGGCGGACAGGCCATATCACTCAGCGAAAACACCTGGCCAGCCTAGTGCATCATGCGTTGCTGAGCAGCCTGCTGGCAAGTCCCGCGGCTCTCGTTTGTGAGCAAGCCGCCAAAACAGGAAAACAAAATTGCTATCAGTAAGCCCTGCCGGTCATTTCCAAGGCTCAGCCAGCCAGCCATCATTCAGGGTGCGTTGTAGAAGAATTTATTTGGATCAAATTGCCGCGACTCGAGTGCTCCTGTGACCACACCCAAGGCCTGCAATTTATTGACACTTGCCATGCGCTTTTCAGACTGGCGATACAAAGCTTGCCGTCGTTGCGATGCTACATGTACGATGGTGTTTTGAGTTAGGCGGACAAGGCGATTTCTTGCGCAGCGGCGCGGGCCTCTTGAATTTACAGACGGGGGGGGTATTGAGATGCTGCCGCCTTCCGAGGAGCAAGATTCGAGGCATGTTGCCTGCCTGTTGAAAGCATGAAGCGCCCCTCCTCGACGCAAGGAAAGGTTGGAACCGTCAAACTTTTTTTTCTCGCACCTTTTCCCTCGCCATGAATCCCAGCCTGCTCCCCACTCCCCTCGCTGGCAATGCGCGCTTGAGCGGCGGCCTCATTCGGCGCACCACTCCTGCCTAGCGCTATCTAGGGCAGCGGCAGCCGGCTTGGCAGCGTGGCATCAGCCAGGTCCAAAACGCCGGCCAAAGGGATGGCGTCGGCATCTGCCGGGATCGCCGGCATGCTCCAAGTGCCCAGCACAGCGCTGCAGACAGCACGCTGGACCGCGACGGCCAAAATGCTCCACCAGCAACGCGCCCACCCCTGCGCAGCGCGCACAAGGCGGTCGGCACTCGGCGCCCCCGGAGCCGAACAAG